GCTACACAGACCTTCATTACCTTAATATGTCTGATATCAATCTCTGATGGTCTCACAATCTGCTATGCAGTGTTAGTAATAAGATAGAACTTGAAAATATTGATCTTTTAACGTCTAATTCCCTAATAGCAATCTCTAGAGAAAAAAAATGCCTAACCTTGACTGACTTTCAATGTTACAGTTAAAAAGTATATTATTTCCACAGGCTGAAATGTGTAATATATGTTATTCTACAGTAAACACGAATGGGTAAGATGACAATAGTTATTATGTGCTTGTGAATATAATGACTGCATGTAACATATGTCCTTCATGATGTTGTGCTCGACTTCATCTTTTTTGCAATCTCAAGCTACTTGAAAAAATTAAAACTAGAGTTTTAATTTTGTTTAGCCCCCCCCCCCCCCTTAGAAAATAGGTATTAATTAGGGATTTATGTTTATTATTTAAGGAAATGTCTGTGTACCAGATGAAATTAATGAAGAAATGTACAGTTTCTAATATTTTTCATTTATGATCACGTTTTTTTTGAAAATTCATCAAACTGAATAGGAAAGGTACTTAAAAGTGATCATGATCCATTGACATGAAATGACTCTGTTTTTAGTCTGGATTCTCTTTGCCTACAAGCAACACAAGTCATTTCCTCTGTGCAACATATGACAGACCTCAAAGTTTTATGACTTAACACAAAGGTTGGCCATGAACATATTTTTTTTTCATTTGAACCTCGAACTTGAATTTGTTTCTTTCTCTTTAATGTATGTCAGTGGGCCATTTTATTCTGATATCAAACAGAGTGAGATTTTTGTTATATCAATGTCTGCACTTAGATAAGTTACTATTTTGTTGTAGTTTAATTCACATGAAACAAACTGTCTGTTATACCTACACATAGGGCAGCTAAGAATACAACTAAAAGCCATGTTCAAGATTTGCTGAATTTAAAATGTTCTCTCAAAGGATTCTTGAGTCAGTTTATGAAGTTTCTTACAAAGAGGAGTGAAAAAACAATGAAAGCAAACTCAACACGTATATTTTATATTATAAGCAAGATTTTGAGGTGTAACCCTCGGAGTTGTTTATTATTTCAAATAATATTACATTCAACCTTTCTTCTTTGATTATACCCATGGAACTAATGTGACTCTTCTTTGTAAGAAGGTGTAAAAGTCAAAGTACATGTATAGGTCATTAAAGGACAACCTTAAACTCAGGTTGATCATTTACCAAGTTAATTAACTAAGATTTCCTGGCTTTTATCTTACAAGGCTTGATAGATGAATCTAAAATCAGCTTTCTGTTCCTATTTTAGACTTCTTATCTTCTGTGTAGGAATAGGTGGAGATTAACATACTACTTAAAAGGGGAGTGATCTCCATCTATATATTATATAATAAAATGGTGCACTAAGAATATGTAAGAAATGTTTGATACCAAAATAAATCAAAGCTTGATTGTAATAATAAATTGACTGTTTACATGATAAATTAGTGCAGACTGGACCATGCTTTAACTGTTACTTAATGCAAGATTGACAGTTTGACAAATTAGTGTGACTTGGTAATTTAATGAAAAATTTCCATTAGCTTTTATCAAGCTTTTGTCACAGTGAATGTTTTGGCATTCATGTACTTTAATTAATTACAAAGCATATTTTCAGGTATAACATGAACCTATGCAATAAATCACAGTTGTTATTATACATGTTTTTTTTTTCTCTCACTGGTACTACAGGACTTTGCACTTTAGTGTACAAGGAACAGGATCTGACCTCTAACTAGCATGTACTGCTGCTTGTGATGTTTATATACTGTTGTCTTCAGCATTCTTGTGAACTGTACATAGTATACTAGACATCATTCTGAAGTCGGAGCTACCTGGAATTACACCTATTTGACTATAATCAGATAGCAGTCATTTTTTCTAGCATCTTTATAGAAGAGTACATGAATTCTATCAAGTCCGCTACTTACTCTGCAGAAAAAAAAGTAGCAAGTGCTAGACATACTTGTAAATGATTTCATAATTTTATCACTTTTTTTTTTTTAAATCGGCTTAGAAAATTGGCTGTCTCTGGTAGGCAATCTGTACAGGTTGTAGAGTATATGGTTTATTTCCATCAGGAATGCCACAACAGACTACTAGGACATTTGTGAATGAATTAATATAATAAATTATGGGAGTCATTTTTCTGCTCTGTTGAGTACGTAAAGTGATGCAGGATTAGGGCTTATCCTCTCTAATTGACCTTTACTCTGTATGTACTTCTACTTATGTGTCGTTTACAAGAGTGGGTTTAGATACAATTCCTATTTTTCCATTTCATTACACAAGGATGCTCATAGTGATATATATATTAAATCATAGCAATAAGATTATATAATCATATGATTTTAAAACATTATATCACATAATATACCAGAAGTACACATGTACATTAAAATATATTGACATTGAAGCATTTCCTTAAAGGTGATTAAAATCTCACCATCAGGTTATCTTTAAAAAAAATTAGATGTAAAAAAAAAAAAAAAAAAAAAAAAAGTATGCTTCTTGCAAGAAAAAAATGCTGTTTTAATTAAATTTCATACACGGTAAGGTTGTCCAAGTCTTGGTTTGATCATTTCTTTGATTGCTAATAATTGATATTTCCTAAACGTCCTGAAACATGCATGACTGGCTTTTTTAAACATCAAATGCAGGAAATGTGAACTAACTTCAGAAAATAACCTGACAGCTTTTATAGTCATTTCCTTCACACTTGTCAAATTCTGATTTAAGTTTTTTCACAACATTCATGATCCAACCATTGCAATTGTAGCACTTCAAATGCCAGTCTATAGCCTGGAAATAGAACTGGAAAGCTATTCTTGGATGGCAACAATTCTTTTTCTCATGCCACATGCAAATGAAAAATATGAATTTTGTGTAGGGAGACAAAATAAGTGCAGGGTTTTTATTATTATTGGGCAGCTTCTGCAGCTAAAGCAGACTATTAAATTTTCCTTTCACAATTTTTTTAGTTATCATTTTCTTTTGGGTTTTTTTTTTTTTGGCCTTTGGTTTTTATCACATAACTTTCTCTTTTTTTTTCATCAAAGAGATTTCATTCTAAAACATTTTAAGTCTAAGCCCCTGTTAATTAAAACACAGCTGTATTGCAGTAGAGGAAAACATATGGGAAGGTACAGAACTTCTTGTGCTTTACAAGATAATTTAACAGGTTTGTTTCTACAATTCTTTTGTTGCAAAGCAGCAAGCAAAAGCAATCACTATCAGGGTTTATCGCAATTTGCATGACCTCACATGCATGAAGGAAATTGAATCGATTTGATCATCTATCAAAGTGCCTCACCGAGAAGGCACTGAACGAGTTCATCCAATGGGTGCAACGTCTGACCCACTGACACAAATACCAGGCCACATGCCCTTATGTCAGACACACACATTTTAATAAGGTGAACTGCCTTATGCTTCTCAGCTGTGTTGAATTTTCTGCCAGTTGATGCAAAAGCGAATTGTTTATGCTCACTGAGCTGAAATTAAGGCTCGGGTTCTCTAAGGTGCCATGTCATGGTTAAAAGTGTTTATTTATACATGAGATGATTCACTTGAAAATGATTCACACATATGTTAGATTACTAGTAAGATTGGTGCATACTTGAAATATTTGTGAAAAATATATGCACACAGTTGTAGCCTTTTAATGGAAGTTGTGATAGTGCATAGTCAAAGAAGGCTATTGATATTTTTCCATTGCTGTGGTAAAGATACTGGAAGATTTTCCCAGATAATACTCACTCAGAAGTCTGCAGTTTTGAACATGACAGAAAATTAAATTTCCCATCTCATGCAACCTGTCCTTTTTGATGTTGCTGTTTTTAATTCTTTGATGTTTTTTTTTTCTTATTAAGAAAAAATAACATTAAAAGCTACACTGGATTCTTTTTTTTTTTTATAACTTTAAAAATGGTCTTTTTATGGCATGGGTTTAGGTAAAAACAATTATTCTTCCAAAAAAAAAAAAAAGCTAGCAGGTTCTGTGAAACTGGTTCAGTGCAGATCTTGTACATATTCCAGTATATTGAGCTATAATTAATCTTCAAACTAGCAGATGTCTTACAGAAGGTTGTGATAAACTGGTTCAGTGCAGATACTGTACATTCCAGTGTATTGATTGAGCTATTTTAGTCCCCAAATATTTGTCTTATTTCTAAAACATGTCTAAGTCTAGATGTCTACCCTGTGAAGTTTTATGGAACTGTGCATTGATAGTCAAGTTTTACTGTACTTTATAATTTGTGATCACTGCATGAAAATAATTTTTCGCCAATACTAGAGTATACAGACAATATTAAATATTTCTTTCATTTTAACCAATATATATATAGAGAGAGATGTTCATAATTATTATTAAAGTCATATATGGCGTATTTTTTGATAACTTCACGTAACCAAAATTAAAAAGATCTCTCTATTTGTTTTAATTACTTTATATAAAGATAGGACTTTCCTGAAAATTACACAATTTAAATCAATTGTGTTTCAAAGATATTAAAACAATAACCAATTTATTTACCGACTCCACATTTACGGTAAAGAACAGATAAATTTAAAGTCAATTTAACTATAGAAACGTGAGATTATTCAAGCCCAAAACCTGAGAAAATTTTAATTTGAACATAAATAACAAATATCATGATCATTTACACTCAATCTTGTATTATTATTTTTCAAGATATTATGCCATATATAGCTTTAAACTTCAATTTCATCTAAATGTTCATTTCTAAAGTTTTGAATGTTGCAAAAGTTTATATCTGTAAAAAGATTGTAAGTCATTTTTGGTTTAATCTTGTTTAAAGTATGTATATACAAAATTCTTTTTTTCTTCAAAAATGTGTGATGTTGAAGGACCTAATTTACTAATATACAACCACTGGAAGGAAATGGCAAATGTAACAAGAAAGGTAACTCTGAATTTGTTTTCATTCCAGGTTTTGGAACAAACTGACTTTAATAAGAGACACAAGACAGTGAGCTTAAAACCATTCAACTTTGCTTGTATGCTTAAATTCTCAAAGGCACAACTACAAGAGAAAGCATTCAAGGTAATTAATAGAAAAAAAACATAGCTTTTTACTAACCCCCCCCCCTTTTTTTTCAAAAAAAATATTTAAAACAAAAAAAAGAAAAAAAATCTTTTGTTACATGATGAAAATAAAGTATTGTTTACACTTCTGTCAGTGTAATAGATGAATGTATCAGTTTTGGATTAGCTATATTTAATATCAATTTTTACAGTGCAGGAAAAAATAGATTAGTAGAAATGAAATTAATAGAAATGATTGATTTCAGGATGGCCTGATTGACCAGTTATATGAGATCCTATTGGATCAGTTACACATCCATGCCAGCTCTATCGGTTTTCCTGAACTAGTTCTCCCTGGGATAATTCAGGTACGAACCGCTTCTTCATGCTAGACAGGGGGATTAAATCAACATTGTGAAAGTCAATGTGATTTAACTGACAAGTACAGAAAACCCATTTTATGATTTATGAGCTGCTAAGTATGAGGTGTACTTTAGCTAAAGGTAAATATTGTCTTTTATGTTTGTACAGTTCCAGGCAATTTTCATAAGAGTGCATGTGTACACATACGTAATAAGTGCATATACATGCATAATCAAGTGTATATACACATACATTATAAATGTAAATATGGGCATAATTAAAGTGCATTGGGTTAACGGTATGCATGTGAAATAGTAAATCACTGTATATTTGGATATACCTTCAGTTATATGTTCAATAATTATATAAGTGCAATTATTAGATTAAGATTGTTAAGTCTTTTTTTAGCTAAGAGATTTCATGAAGAAATGTAAGATAGCAAACTACTGTAAGCAGATCAAGCAAATTGTTGAAAAAGTGGACGAAAACATCAGATTTATCAACAACAGACGAAAGTCCACTAACATACAACTGTCAGATACAAAGGCTGTGGTACGTACATCATCCAATCATGTTTAAACTAAAAATATGACATAGCCACATTTCGTAAAATGAAGATGAAGACAGAGAAATGCATTGAATTTAAATCAAAAGTGAATTCTTTAAGATTTTCCACTATTAATCCAAAGTAACACAAAAAAGAGTATTGTTGAAACACTGGTTATTGATACGTCATATAAACAGGTAAATTTGCCTTAAATGATTGCCCATGAAATTTTTTACTTGAAGTTCATGTGAAAAAAATCACTAAAAGAAATTCAGTTTAATTCTTCCATCTGAATTTTATATGCAGAAAACAAGTGAAATTTGCATGGATTTTTTCGTAAAATTTCACATAAAGGACAAGATAGGCTGTGGTTTCTTTCAGGCCCCTGGTTTAAGGTGTCTCTTAGAACAATACAGGTGTTCATAATTAAAAATTATTGTCATCCCTGTTACAAACCAAGTGTTGATTCTAAGTGATATGAGATATGCAGAGATTACGGGAAAGTCACAAAATTGGTCAATTTTCAAATTTTATTATTTTTATTCAAATTTTCATCAATTTTAAAGCACATTTTGTTTAGTAATCACAGAGCACAAGCTTGCCTATGTACCAAATTTATATATATTTTTCATGCCAAACTGAAAAGTATCTGAAATTTAATGTACAAAATTCCATCAAAATTGAGGAAATTCAGTAAAATATTCTATTTTGTCACCCTCTTGTGACCTCCATGATTGATTTGAATCAAAATTAATGCTAATTTAGAACAAGCTTTAATTGCAAACTATCACAATTTAAACTGTGTTTTGATTTTAGATCAAATAAGGGGTCAAATTCGACCCTTTCCGTACCTTAATTGTCCTTTCATGTGAAGGTCACACAAAGACACAGGGCACATTGGCTATGTATATGTGTGTATATGTAAAATTAAATGATGTTTATTTTCTGTGTAGGAAGCATGGGGGAGAGAATGCAAAGAGGCTGGGACTCCCCTGGGTAAATTTTACAGCAACTGGAGGAAACTACGCGACAGAGAACTGCAGCACCAGATAGCTCAGAAAGACCTGGTACACAGCTTATACAAAGCTTTTACAGATAAAGTACAATAAATAGAGAAAAAAATATATAATTTCTAACTCTTAATGAACTGCTTTTACTTTGTTGATAAACAGATTGTTGGAGTGGATGAGATGCCTAGAATAGAGAGAGATAGAGGCCCAGTCAAGGCATCAGAAGAGGATAAGAAGGAATTCAGTGCGTTGTTTGATGAGGAATCTGATAGTGACGATGAGACCAGGTAAATTAATCGCAAAGTGCTCAAAGTAAATATGTAAATTGAACAAACATTGCTGGATTGAGGTTCACTTAATAGAATGCCATGTGAATAATGGGAGAAATATAATCAACAATGTTTGTTTGACTTAATCCCATACCTCCAAGCACTACTTTTCCAAACTCACCTGGGGTCCATATTGAACATTTTTAATCATATGCTTGTAGTTTATGATTATTATAATTGTATCTTTCAAGATTTTCGAGTCATTACAACCTAAAAAACATGCCTAGGTGGGGGTGAGACAAGACAAAGATCAATTTCTAATGCCTCCTAGCTGGCAATCCAGGAGTATAGAATTAAAGAACATAACATTTACTGATAATATAAATCCTACACTCTTGTTACCACCCACTAAGCATCAGCTATTGGTTGAACTATCATAATATCATAGTAAAATTTGTGTCTATGTATGTATGTACCTGTAGCAAGTGCCTAAGAGTTTTATTTCTCTTGACCTGCATCATTGTAAATCTTGAAATTTGAAGAAAGAAGCTTTACAGAGTTTAAATGTTAGGAATTTATGATTGTTGAAATCTTATAGGTTCCTTCCAAAAAATGAAAGACCTGCTAAAAAACAAAAGACAAGTCATGGAGACAGTTCAGACGATAGCCAGGACTACAGGTATGAAGACAAGTGATTCCATAAAAAAACAAGAGGCCCATGGGCCACAACGCTCACCTGAGTCTATATGGCCCTGCTGTTCTTTGTCAGCAGATTTCTTCTTCTATATATTCATACGTAAAGCTTTGATCAATTGTTCTAGGCATAACTTATCCCCAGTTGCCATGTTTTGAATGAAATTGAATCTAATTTTTCTGAGGATGCTTCTATATTCATATAACTAATCATGGTTTTGCTGTTCTTGAAACAGAATTTACAAAGTGTCTGCCATCCTACCCTGGGGGGTAGGAAGGGAGGGGGGTTCAAGATTTGAACAAACTTGAATCTACACTACCTAAGGATGCTTCCATATCAATATGACTAATTATGGCTTTGTTGTTCTTGAGAAGAAGATTTTTTAAGATATTTCTTATATATATTCTTTTGTTAAACTTTGATCCCCGATTATGGCCCCACCCTACTACTGGAGGATGCCTTGAACAAACTTGAATCTACAATACTTGGGGATGTTTCAATATCAAAATGACTAATCACGGCTTTCCTCTTCTTGAAAAGATTTTAAAAGATTTTTCCTATTTATTCCTATGTAAAACTTTGATCCCCAATTGTGGCTCCACTCTACCCCCAGGGGTCTTGATTTCGACAAATTTGAATCTATACTACCTAAGGATGATTCCATATCAATATGACTAATTGTGGCTTTGTTGTTCTTGAGAAGAAAATTTTTAAAGAATTTTCCTATATATTCCTATGTAAAACTTTGATCCCCCATTGTGGCCCCACCCTACCCCCGGGGGGGTCATGATTTGAACAAACCTGAATCTACATTACCTGAGGATGATTCCATATCAAAATGACTAATTGTGGCTTTGTTGTTCTTGAGAAGAAAATTTTTAAAGAATTTTCCTATATATTCCTATGTAAAACTTTGATCCCCCATTGTGGCCCCACCCTACCCCCGGGGGGTCATGATTTGAACAAATTTAAATCTACACTACCTGAGGATGATTTCATATCAATATGACTAATTGTGGCTTTGTTGTTCTTGAGAAGAAGATTTTTAAAGAATTTTCCTATGTATTCCTATGTAAAACTTTGATCCCCCATTGTGGCCCCACCCTACCCCCAGGGGTCATGATTTGAAATAATTTAAATCTACACTACCTGAGTATGATTTCATATCAATATGACTAATTGTGGCTTTGTTGTTCTTAGGAAGAAGATTTTTAAAGAATTTTCCTATATATTCCTATGTAAAACTTTGATCCCCCATTGTGGCCCCACCCTACCCCCGGGGGTCATGATTTGGACAAACTTGAATCTACACTACCTGAGGATGATTTCATATCAATATGACTAATTGTGGCTTTGTTGTTCTTGAGAAGAAGATTTTTAAAGAATTTTCCTATGTATTCCTATGTAAAACTTTGATCCCCCATAGTGGCCCCACCCGACCCCCGGGGGTCATGATTTGAACAAACTTGAATCTACACTACCTGAGGATGATTTCATATCAATATGACTAATTGTGGCTTTGTTGTTCTTGAGAAGAAGATTTTTAAAGAATTTTCCTATGTATTCCTATGTAAAACTTTGATCCCTCATAGTGGCCCCACCCTACCCCCGGGGGTCATGATTTGAACAAACTTGAATCTACACTATGTAATGAAGGTTTCCCATAAGTTTCAACTTTTCTGGCCCAATGGTTCCTGAGAAGAAGATTTTTAAAAGAAGACACCAAATTTTCACTTATTCTTAATTATCTCCCCTTGGAAGAGGGCATGACCCTTCATTTGAACAAACTTGAACCCCCTTCACCCCAGGATGCTTTGTGGCAAGTTTGGTTGAAAATGGCCCAGTGGTTCTGGAGAAGAAGTCGAAAATGTGAAAAGTTTACAGACGGACAGACGGACTACAGACAAAATGTGATCAGAAAAGCTCACTTGAGCTTTCAGCTCAGGTGAGCTAAAAACCTTTATTTTTTATTACATGATAATGCAGTCTGGTTTTCTGCATTCTTGATGCTGCAAGTTGTTGATAGACATAAGTGAAATCCTTTGTGTTAATTGGTCTAGTTTTCACAACACAGACTGTTTAATATTTTGTAAATATTGATATTTAGTTATTAAAATGCCCCCTGCATGTTTAACCATGTCTGTCACATTAAGTTTAATTGTATGAGATCTTTACCAAATCTACTTAATATGAATTAAATCTTATGTAATATTGATAAACTTTATTAACACTATATATATACATTGGTGTCTGCGTACTTCCATAGCCAGTGAGGAAGCTTTTTGTCCAGACAACCTTTTGTAACATGTTTTTCCAATGAGAAATACTATACCTGTGTTTTATCTTCAGTGACTTTGACAGTGATGAGCTTGAAATACTAGCCAGATCAGGGGATGAAGACTCAGATGAAGATGGTGAAGAAGATGCTGAAGTTGCTGATGAGGTAGATGATGTTGATGATGAGGAAGATGATGTTGAGATTAATGATGAAGATGAAGGAAGTGAAGAGGATGAAGGCGGAATACAAAGTAGTAGTGATGAACAAGATGACATTGATGAAAAAGAAGATATTGTTCAGAACTTTGAGCTATCAGATTCTGATTGACAGTATAAAGACTATTTTAAATAAAAGGATGGGATTTTCATGGTGCCTATTTATTGATGACTTTGGGGGGGGGGGGGGGTGTTAGGAGGATGGAATGAAACTTGTTATGAAAGAATGACAAAATGCAAATTTTCATTTTTTCATTGTTATACAAATGTGGTTTGAAAATGGGAATAGAATATAAACAAATTATGAATAGCTAGTTGACAAGAGGCCCATGGGCCACATTGCTCACCTTAGCACTTTGGTTAGGAAAAAGCAGAAATCAGTTCAGTATTGAAAAGTTTAAATATAAAAGCGGTCCCAGTTTGGGGGGGGGATGATTTGAACAAACTTGAATCTACACTACCTAATAATTCTTCCATATTTCTTTAACTAATCATGGCTTTAGTAAATTTTTCAAGATTTTTTCCTATATGTTTGATCTTCGATTGTGGCTTCGCCCTATCCCTGGGGACTTGATTTGAACACACTTGAATCTACACTACCTGAGGATGCTTCTGTATTAATATGACTAATCATGGCTTTGCTGTTCATGAGAAGAAGATTTTTCCCATGTAAAACTTTGAATACCCATTGTGACCCCACACTAGCCCCCAGGGTCATGATTTGAACAAACTTGAATCTAAATTACCTGAGGATGCTTTTATTTAAATATGACAAATCATGACTTTGCTGTTCTTGAAAATTTTTTATTAATGATTTTTCCTATGTATTCCAATGTAAAACTTTGATCACCCATTATGGCCCCACCCTACCCAGGGGGTCATGATTTGAACAAATTTGATTCTACATTACACGAGGATGCTTCTACATAAATTTCAAATTTTCTAGCCCAGTGGTTCTTGAGATGAGGATTTTAAAAAGATGCCATTAATTTTTCACTAATTCGTAATTATCTCCCTTTCATTTAAAGAAACTTGAATCCTTTTTACCTAAGGATACTTTGTGGAAAGTTTGGTAGAATTTGGCCCAGTGGTTCTTGAGAAGTCGAAAATGCGAAAAGTTTACAGACATGGACGCCGGACAAAATGTGATCAGAAAAGCTCACTTGAGCCTTCTGCTTAGGTGAGCCAAAACACAGGTGTATGCTCTGTGATTTTTAGCTCACCTGAGCTGAAGGCTCAAGTGAGCTTTTCTGATCACATTTTGTCCGTCCGTCCGTCTGTCCGTCTGTCTGTCTGTCTGTCCGTCCGTCTGTAAACTTTTCACATTTTTGACTTCTTCTCAAGAACCACTGGGCCAATTTTGACCAAACTTGGTACAAAGCATCCTTGGGTGAAGGGGAATTTAAATTGTTAAAATGAAGGGCCAAGTCCCCTAACAAGGGGAGATAATCAAGAGAAGAAAAAAATAGGGTGGGGTCATTAAAAAATCTTCTTCTCAAGAACCACAGGGCCAGTAAAGCTGAAACTTATATGGAAGCATCCTGGGGTAGTGTAGATTCTAAATTGTTCAAATCATGACCCCCGGGGGTAGGGCGGGGCCACAATGTGGAATCAATGTTTTACATAGAAATATATAGGAAAAATCTTTAAAAATCTTCTTCTCAAGAACCACTGAGCCAGAAAAGCTGAAACTTATGTGGAAGCATCCTGGGGTAGTGTAGATTTTAAATTGTTCAAATCATGACCCCCGGGGGTAGGGCGGGGCCACAAGAGGGAGTCCAAGTTGTACATTGAAATTAATAAGAAAAATCTTTAAAAATCTTCTCAAGAACCACTGGGCCAGAAAAGCTGAAACTTATATGGAAGCATCCTGGGATAGTGTAGATTCTAAATTGTTAAAATCATGACCCCCAGGGGTAGGACGGGGCCACAATAGGGAATCCAAGTTTTACATTGAAATATATAGGAAAAATCTTAAAAAATCTTCTTCTCAAGAACCACTGGGCCAGAAAAGCTGAAACTTATACGGAAGCATCCTGGGGTAGGGTAGAATCTAAATTAGTCAAATCATGACCCCCGGGGGTAGGGCGGGGCCACAGTAGGGAATCCAAGTTTTACATTGAAATATATAGGAAAAATCTTAAAAATCTTCTTCTCATGAACCACTGGGCCAGAAAAGCTGAAACTCAAATGGAAGCTTCCTGGGGGTAGTGTAGATTCTAAATTGTTCAAATCATGACCCCCAGGGGTAGGGCAGGGCCACAATAGGTATATTAAAAGGGGGAAATCTGGTAAAGAACAGCATGGCCAAAGTTACTCAGGTGAGCGATGTGGCCCATGGGCCTCTTGTTTTTCAGTATTGTAAAAGATGTATCCACATGAAAACATTAGGAACATATCATGATGAAGAGTACAGTAGTATATGCTGGTGTCATTATCGTGCCTTCTGGCATCTCTGATAAGATACTAGTACACACCCACACATATCAAACGTGATGATGATGAAGATAATCCACTGTCAATATGCCTATTGATGATTTCATATGGCTCTCATCTATACATCTCTCTAAATGAAATTTGATGGGAAAATTAGATAGCTGTTCCAATTAAGGACCATCGAAACACTGCACAAAGAAGAAGTTCTGAGTTATCTGCCCTTTGAAGAATAAATAACACAACCTTTTTAGGTCACCTGAGTCACTCAGGTGACCTATTGCTATCTCTTTTCGTCCGTCGTTGTGCGTCGTCCGTCGTTCGTAAACTTTTGAACATTTTCAGCTTCTTCTCTGGAACCAGCAAACCAATTTCAACCAATTTTGGCATATAGCATCTATGGGTGAAGGGGAACAAAAGTTGTGAAATTTGTGGCCCCTGCCCCCCTGGGGCCTGAGGGATGGGGCCAAAACCATCAAAATTGATGCAATCTTTAAAAATCTTCTTCTTTACTCCTGGACATCAAGCAGTCAAACTGTTGGCATGATTGTAATAAGCATTGAGCTCTGTACCAAAATTGTGAAATTCATGGCCCCAGGGTCAGGGGTTCTGGTGCAAGGGCGGAGCTATATAGATCATATAGTGAAAGTGCATTATTTCTTTGAAAATCTTCTTCTCTACTCCTGGGTATTATTGAAACAAATTGAATACATAGTTATGATAAGCAAGAGTGACTCAACAAAAATTGTGAAATTCATAGCCCCAGGGTCAGGGGTTCTGGTGCTAGGGTGGGGCTATATAGATCATATAGTGAAAGTGCATTATTTCTTTGAAAATCTTCTTCTCTACTCCTGGGTATTATTGAAACAAATTGAATACATAGTTATGATAAGCAAGAGTGACTCAACCAAAATTGTGAAATTCATAGCCCCAGGGTCAGGGGTTCTGGTGCTAGGGTGGGGCTATATAGATCATATAGTGAAAGTGCATTATTTCTTTGAAAATCTTCTTCTCTACTCCTGGGTATTATTGAAACAAATTGAATACATAGTTATGATAAGCAAGAGTGACTCTACCAAAATTGTGAAATTCATGGCCCCAGGGTCAGGAGTTCTGGTGCTAGGGCGGGGCTATATAGATCATATGGAGAAAGTGCATTATTTCTTAAAAAATCTTCTTCTCTACTCCTGGGTATTATTGAAACAAATTGAATACATAGTTATGATAAGCAAGGGTGACTCTACCAAAATTGTGAAATTCATGGCCCCAGGGTCAGGGGTTCTGGTGCTAGGGTGGGGCTATATAAGTCATATAGAGAAAGTGCATTATTTCTTAAAAAATCATCTTCTCTACTCCTGGGTATTATTTAAACAAATTAAATACATAGTAATGATAAGCAAGGGTGACTCTACCAAAATTGTGAAATTCATGACCCCAGGGTCAGGGGTTCTGGTGCTAGGGTGGGACTATATAGATCATATAGTGAAAGTGCATTATTTCTTTGAAAATCTTCTTCTCTACTCCTGGGTATTATTTAAACAAATTAAATACATAGTAATGATAAGCAAGAGTGACTCTACCAAAATTGTGAAATTCATGGCCCCAGGGTCAGGAGTTCTGGTGCTAGGGTGGGGCTATATTGATCATATAATGAAAGTGCATTATTTCTTTGAAAATCTTCTTCTCTACTCCTGGGTATTATTTAAACAAATTAAATACATAGCTATGATAAGCAAGGGTGACTCTACCAAAATTGTGAAATTCATAGCCCCAGGGTCAGGGGTTCTGGTGCTAGGACGGAGCTATATAGATCATATAGTGAAAGTGCATTATTTCTTTGAAAATCTTCTTCTCTTCTCCTGGGTATTATTTAAACAAATACATGGTTATGATAAGCAAGGATGCCTCTTCCAAAATTGTGAATTTCATGACCCCTGGATCAGAGGTTCTGATATTAGGGCGGGGCTCTATTTATTATATAGTGAAAATGCATTTATGCTTTAAAAGTCTTCTCTTCACCTGGACATATCAGAGGCAAAAAGAGTAAAAGTTTTAATAAGGAAGGGTATTTTTACCAGATTTTTGAACATCCGAACCATTCAAGTGTTCTGGTGCAGGCCAGGGCTCTATTAATTTGTATTCTACTGAGAGGAGTTATTCCCCTTTGCCATTTACTTGTGATAATTAATCACTGTAAATAATGTACTTGAAAGGTCATCTTCGCTAGCCAAGGGTTTCTGATACGCTACTCTCCTCATAACCCTTGGCATACGGTGCTGACAAAAGACGGGATTGTTTTCGTCACGTGATCACGATTCTTACCAGGTTCGCACAGATTGCGTCATCGACAGAAATAAAAAGCGTATTAAAAAAAATATAATGTTTTTAAAGAATAATTAACAAGAAGGTATTAAGTTATGTTAATTTGTTATTAAACATGTTAAAATGCAAATCTACATCTTCAGTATAGATTCTTAATCACATATTTTGCACGTAGCTTAAGATATTGGATGACACCATATAGCTATTCATAGAATGGCATGTTATCTTACGGATCGTTGTTTACTTGCGTTTTTCATTCCCGATATTAAAGAGTCAAGATATATCCCGAACGCAAATATCGTCATTTACAAAAAACAATTTCTGATTGGTCGAACGATGTCGATCAACTCCAATCACAACTTGAGAAAAAAATCCCAACTTTTTTTAACACCGTATG